CTAGTTGCTGGGTGCTCAGTCATTGCTTCATTTACTTCAAACCAAACTGGACCAGTCAATGGCCTTATGTTTTTCATCATTTTTTATTATTTTTTTTTTTTATTTGCATTATTTTTAATGCAGATTTTTAATTCAATGTTGATTTGATTCATTCAAATTTCAAATGAGTTTTACTTTCAAAATTGACTTTCATAATGAGAGACTATAAAACTATGAAATGTTTCACTAATGGGCCATATGAACAAAATACTATTCATTTCAATTCTATATAGTAACCGAAATAAAATTAGCATGACATCTAGTCACTGGTAAATAAACTAAACAGTTTACTTTTTGACACAGAGAATCGTTTTACTGAGAACTTTATAATGAAAGTCTGTTGTCATCTACAACACTTCTTTTAACACACAGAGCTAGATATGGAACTGAGTCATCACGTCTGCAGTCAATATGTTTAATGTTGCTTGAGTAAATATTTCCTTTTCAAGAAGAGTTCTGCTCTTGTATGTCACTGACATACACAAAACTATTTCTATTGCAAATGATTGAATTAAGAATTTGTTTACTGTGACTTTTTTTTTCTTTTAGCTCTTTTCTATTCCAAATACTCAAAGATGATGAATCAATACTGTGAGTTCTTTCATAGTGCACTAATATTGTTTTGTTGTTGAGTTTGAAGGCTTCCAGACTGAAAAATGTGTGCATAGCTCAGGACTTGATTCAAAGATGCTAATGTAATTTATCTCTCTGATTCAATTAGGAAAATAAATTAAATCAAGGAATCAGACTAATAGATAGATGACAAACTTGACCAAACCACATAATAAGGTTCTCTTGCAAAGACAACAACATCCACTGTTGAAAGTGCTAAGAGATTGGAGGAAATTTTCAGTAGAGCATTAGATCATTTTGCACAATATAGTGAGAATCCTCTGTAATTTCTTCAGTCACTTTCCAGTCTGTCCTAGTTCATTAGCTGAACACTTGTTCTAGTTCATTAGCTGAACACTTGTTCTTTAGACACTTTTCTTTCATGAAATCTCTTGGAATAAAGTTAAGGAAGTTCAGATATGAAAATCTGGTCACATGATTAAATTAGCATTTTAAATCAACTTACATTCTTTTAAGATTTTTAAGAAAGCCTTAGGGTCAGTTAAAATACTTTGATATGACCATAGATATTGCTCTGGACCTTTTTGGTAGTAGATATCCAGTATGTCTGATGGATATATAGATTTAGAAAGGCAGTCATATTCTGTCTGGCTTCTTCCATTTAGACTGTTTAGGTAATTAAAGTCCTGAGATGGCAGATTGGCTTATAACTAAATTCGAGCCCTGTTTAGCACCTGTCTTGCTTAGCTTCCTTGACATACATTAGAAAAATCTAGTATCAAAGCAACACATTTTAAAAAATCAACAGTAAGTATAAGTCTAATTGTATTACCATTATAATCTGATCTCAAGCTAGAACTAAGTTGATAAATCCAACCAAAGCTGCCTCACAGTATTGCTTACCTATAATCAGTAGTGTTTTTCAATACCAGTAAATAGTCAATATAGTAATTTTAACATTGAAGATGTATCACAAATGTTTATTTATTTATTTTCTCAGTTTTCTTTGTCTTTTATTTTAGCTTTTTGTTTACTATTTTTTTAGCTCCGATTTTTTGTTCATTTCACTTTTCAACTCACTATGAACTTAAATTCAGTTGCATTTTTTTAAATATGTTTTTAATATTCTCTTTTAATTGAAATCAAAATTTATTCATCAATTTTTTGACTTTTTTCTTCTATAATAACAAAACATTTTTGTATACACGTTGAATTCAAGCTTTCTTTAGTTTGACATTTTGATTCTTACAATTATTCTGTGTATCAAGCAACATTTTTCAGAGTCATTATGAAACCTAACATTTACAAATTTAGTGGATTATTTCCCTTCAAGTTTTTAAGTGTTCATGGATTGGACTAATCAGGGTTTGCCTTTTTCTTTTAACTAGTCTTGATTTCACATAAACAGGTTTACTTTTGAGATGATGTGCCATTCAATCACGCATTTGTTGTTTTTAAAGATAGAAAATAACATAAAACAAGAGCATTATTAATATTTCAGTTTATTCTTTACTTTCTTGTAGTTAATAATAATAATGTTGTTAGCAAAGATGTGTCAACATTCAACACTGCTAGAATGAACTTCTTTTTACTTCAAAACAATGATTTCTGACCAGGTATTAACACCTGTCATGCTGTAACTTTTGTGTATGCTGTTTAAGTTATTCTTTGCTTTTCAAATAATCTTGTCAAATGTATTGGCAGTCTTGTTTTGGTTTTGTAAGCTCTTTCAGCTGAAGCTGTTAACAAGAAATAGTTGTTGGTTATTTGGCGCCAGATTTTGTTACTATCAATTTGTTGTTCTTTTAGTGCTAATAGAATTTTGTTTACCCCCTTGTCTATTTGACAAAAATGAAAGAAAACTTTTGGACTGGAAGTCTGTGTATTTCTTGGCTTACCTTCTGTAACTTGATTTCAATTGATGAAAGACAAATTTAATTTGTAGTTACAAGATGGTGGTGAGATGTCATGTGCAATATGACGGCTGGTCTGTAGACTTCACAGAGTGCCTGCTTGCTTTTAACTAGTCTTGATTTCAATTTGAAACATAATGTGCTTTGGCCAGATTGGCATTTTTTTATGTTATATGTTAGCCCTAGTGACTAGTTGGCTTTAATGTTTTGTAAATATACATGTTTAAGCCTTTTGTCTGACTGGCTTTAACATGGATTCATGATGTATATTTTTAAGGCTGTAACCAGAATGACTTTGACTTGACTAATATATGTACAGATGTTAGCTTGATTGTCAGTTATTAGCTACATATACACATATATGTCTGCCTGATTGACTTCTACCAGGCTTGCATACACTTCAATCATGTGCAATGATTATTACAAGTGTGTTTTAAGATTCAGTTTAAATATGATGAACATTTCTTTCTAATGACTCTTTTTGTTTGTTGATCAAACAGTATTGAGTCTGTGCCATGCCAAGAGTGTATGTATATATATCCAAATGTATGGAGTCTATCTTCTTTTGACGCTCAAACATTTGTGCATGAACTACAGCCTTAACACTTCAACTAACTTATGTATCTCTGTCTGTTTAGTGTTTACCATTAGATTCTCCCCATCCACTTGACAATGGTGTTCATGAACATGGCCAGTTCCTAACTAGGAAACAATTTTTGTGTGTAGATGTGTGTATTCTTATATGTCTGGCTCTTCACTGTGTACACAACATACTTACAGATCTTCATTCATTTATTAAGAATCTTGAGAGTTCAATTGTAATATCTGCTCTCAAGTTCTATTGCAACATACTAGTGACAAGCGGGTGAGATTAGCAGTAGAAAAATATATTCAGTCCTTGATTCTAATTTATTTTGCCTCCCATATTTTTCAACTGTGTGGTAGCACTGCCTTCAATAATTATATTGTCCATTTCGGACAGAAATTTCAAAGTGAAAAAATTATGTATAAGTTGGTAATAGAATACATTTTATACATTTGTTTCTCTACACAAATGTCATCAGGTAGACTTGGATAGTACCCGGTACAGTTTTCTCTTTCCAAACATTTGTTGATAGTAGAAGAATTCTGTACTACAAGCTAGTCATTGAACACTGTCTTACTTTGTATAAATGTGTGTGACTCCTCTCATAGCTAGTGGAAGATGAGATGATGCTATCACCTTAGTTTCATGTCAGACTTTGACCACAGCTTATTGTAACGTACTGCAAACTTTTATTGGTGTTAGTCATTTGGGTTGGGTCCAATTTTATTTCAAACTTAAATGTGGCGTTACTTTTAACAGTGTTGTAACATCGCCTTTAGTACACTAACGCTGGTTCATTATGGTTGTATACATACCATCAAGCCACTAACTAGCCCAGTTACTTGGTTTTAAAGTCTTTAAATCCACACATTAACATATTGGCAGATAAAGCTTTTAACCTGGTATTCATACATAGATACAGTGGCAGATAAGCAAGGGAGAGCAGTGGGATCATCATGACAGCAATTGAAAGCACTTTCAACCAGGCCAGGGTTTAGCTGTAGTGTTGGTTATAAAACTCATCATGCCTTCTTTCAATCCTGGCCTGCATTATTTTCACAGAAATTGTTAGGGAAAGAATTTGTCCAAAGCGAAATTGTTTTTAAGCTCTTATTGTGACATTTAGTCTTTAGTACTTCTTCCATGCTTAGTAGCCATTGGATTACAATTATATTGTCTTTGTTTACATGATTTGAAGGACCACAAAATCATGAAGTTGTATAACTTTTGTCTAGCACCAACTTAACCTGCTTTGTAGTCATTCAGAATGTGTAAATAACACTGCTTTGTAGTCAGTCTGAATGTGTAAACAGTTAACTTATGTTTACTTCATGATTGCTAAAGAAAATCATCCTCATTTTCATCAGTCAAGACTTAACAAGTACGATTTTTTTTTTCTTTTGTAAATATCTTTCTTAACTATGTATTCTTTTTCTAAGAATTTTGTTTCCACTAATCAAATGATAAAACTAGGAACAGGGACAAGAGGCAGAGTTCATTCTGCTGGATTTTGTGACTAAATTCCTCAATTTGATTCACTCTAAATTATGTTCCTAGTGTCATGATACATCAGTGTTACTGACTTAATCAGAATTAGGATCAATATCTTTTCATTCAAGAATTCACAAAATATAATTCTAAGCAACAGAGTAAAAAGATTTCAGATTTTGAGAAGTTGTATGCATGTATTGAAATGAACTTTGGTAGATCTTGAATGAAAACTGATTTTGACTGCATAGTTTTGTGTATAATTGATAAGGCTTTGAGTGTCTGAATGATGATCTTATTGTTTGCTGCAATGCCTTAGTGATATTACACTAAACAAGTATCAAAAACACTTGCAATGTATGAGATTCTGTCAAATGTTTGACATATTTAGAAATGACTTGATGTCTAATGATATTCTTGTCTGGGTCAATCAAATTGTTCTGAAAATATTTCTCAACATTAATATCCAAAACTTGTGCATTAGGAATTTTGTTCAATGAGTCTCAAATTAGATTCATTCAGTTAAGAAAGCAAAACAAGTAGAAATAAAATAACAGCCTAACAAGTGACCACTAGTTTGATGTATTCATGTCACACATAGTTCCTCTACTTTCACTTTCTCTAATTATTGTTGTTCTAGCTGCTGAATTGAATTTGCTACATGAAAATTTATTTGGTGGCTCATTTGATTGTACTTGTACAATAAATATATTGATATTCTTTCCTTTTTTTTTTTACATATACCTTAATAGAATTATCACTGGGGAAATATTTAAAAGTTAAAAAAAAAAAAAAAAAGCACTGACAAAACAAATGTGTTCTACTAGATCAGCATTTAGTTCTTGACCATTGAACCCTTGAATATAGTCAAGTAAAGAAAAAAACATTCAAAGTTGAATCCCAACTGCTTAAAACTTATTCACAATTTCACTTTTTTTTTAAAATTTCTGTTTCTCTTGTCCAAATGACTTTTTTTTACAAAAACATGTTTCAAATGTTGAATTTCTTTGAAAAAGTGAATGTCTAATAAAGAGCTACTAATTGCCTGAATGGGGGGGGGGGGGGGGCGGTAGAAGTTCTTAATTAATGATTATTTATTGTTCTGTTGTCAGACAAACAACACACAGCTTAAACCAATGTGAAAATACATTTGTTCCTTAGCTTTTTTTTTTTATAACAGAAAACAAATGGATTATTTTAAACAGCCATGCTGTGCACACCTACAGCTCCAGCCTTAAGGCATACACCACTGAGAGTAGCAGCAGTCGGCCAACACTTACCACATGGTTCATTGAATACACTTGGTGTTCTGTAATACAACTAAGTACCACAAAATATTCATTACTGGCCAGCCTTGTGAGTTTCCCTTGCTTTTAATTTATGAAATATATTTTGTAACTTGTGATAAGACTTGTATGAATATGTTTATTATCAAATTCAATGACTTGTCATGTATTTTGTCCCAAAATATTTTTGTGTGATTCATTTATGTGACATTTACTGTCACCTATTTACTTGACATGTCACCTATGTGTTAAGTTTGATGCTTAATTTTGTACATGTGGATGGCATCAAGAAATGTGGCAGCCTCATGACTTGGTAGAGACATTTGAACTTACCTTAAAGTCAATAAATGAAGTCAAAATAATGGAACAACTGTTGCACTGTTTTAAAAACTGGCAGAATGTTCAAATATGGTGACTGGTACTTCAAGTTGTTTCTCACTGCAGCAGTGAAACAAGATGTCACTTCAACAGTCTGAACCAGAGCAAACTAAAAAAAAAAAAAACAACAACTAAATGTTATAGACTTGTGCCATCCCATTGTCCTTATCAATCAATGTGGCTAGCAGAAAGCTAGTTCTGGACACTCAGTCCTGGTTATAACTTGATCCTTGAAACATGCCATGTTTGCTTCATTTCTACAATAGTTGTGAGAGTGATAGCATCCCTAGTTTCTACACAAGTCTTGCTTGGTACTCTGTTAGGGAAGTTAGCGAGTCATTTTAGTTAAGTGTTAAATGGTGATGTATTAATTATCACTATATATATTTATCTATTTGTTTCATATCTGTTACAACCTGCAATCATTTCATTGTAAACTAGTTTCAGATTAATGAATTAGTGTTGGTTATATTCAATTTACACTAGACACACTGTTGGTGATGGAAATACATTTGTAATTGTACTCTACACTGTTTCCAAGCTTTGATGCTTTCTGTTGTCATCAAGGGTTAGTTTGAATAAACAAATCATGGTTGAATATGCTAGGTCAAAAAAACAACTATTTAAGACCACTAAGATTGCTATCACCATGTACAGTCATTATGTTTCAGTTGTTTTGTCTATTTGTACTTACTACTGCTTGTTCAATCCTTGCTGTTTGATGTTTGGCTACTAGATACTGCTCCATGGTTTGATATTTGCTGGTCTGTTACACAAAACTTTGTGTTCTTAGTTAAATATTGTTGAGTCATTTAGTTGTTTTGTTTAGCTCATTTCAAACTACCAGGAGTTGAAATCCAACTTTGTCAAAAGCTTGCCCAAATAAAACAAAGTGTACAAACTTTTGTCTCTTGAGTTATAATCTATTGTTAGCATTTATTGATTTTTTTGTTTGCAACAAACATGCTCTTTAAAATAAATTACATTTAAATAAATTAACAGATAACTTAAAAAAAAAAAAAAAATCAGGATCAAGTTTCTTAATATTTTTGTTGGCTTAGTAATAAACTTGTTCAATATTGAATCCCATCACTAAATGCAGAAATTTATATGAACTAAAAAAGTATTCATTTTAGTCTTCTTAAAAGTCTATTATGAAAAAAGAAATGATTTCATTTGTAACAGTACTACAATTTCCGTCAGATAGTCTAACAATCAATAGCAACAGCTGCCACAGAATAAACACTTAGATTTGTTGGAGGACTTTAATATTGTATTGAAATACCCATAAGGAATTCAGAATCATGATTTATAGTTGAAAGTGATTGAAGATTTTGTCATAAAATTCAAACAAACAAAACTCCAGAGAAGATGACCGAGTTTATTTGACTGTAATTCTAACAGCATTTCTATCAGATATTGTATAATTGTCCCAACTTTTCTCTGGGTCATATGGCTCCCATCTACTAGCAGGGAAAATGTGTTTATTACGCTCATACCAGCTCCTTAGGCAGACTTTCCCTGCATGAGATTCACTTTTCTCCACTTTGGCATCATTCACAATACGAATGTCATCATGGGCGTCAAAATCAAACAGGGGTCCACTTTTCCCCCTAGCCTTGGTCACGATGAAGTCATAGAAAGAGTAGTGATGGGGAATGATGAGGTCTTCCTTGACATACATTAACTGATCAACAGAGACAGGCATCAAGTCGTTGAATTCCTTACGCAAACTTTCCAGACATTTCTGTAAAAACTGTTGAACAGTGTTTCCTTTCTTCATTTTAGCCTGAAGAAGAAGAAAAAAAAACATTAAATCTACATAGAGTCTACCAAGATGACAGGAAATGAATTTTTTTTAGTCTTAAATCGTGGAACTTAAAAGTTAAATCAACGTCAGTGGTGTAAATAACAAAAAAAAAAAAAAAAAAGCAATGAGCAATTTTTCAAATTACAAAACGATCTTCATAACCCTATAAAAATATAAAAATAATGAAACACGTTTTTTTTTACAGTTTTGTTTTTATTGTGCAATTACACATATGCTTTATTTCACCTATGGGTCATTCTAACTAGGTACCTAGGTAAACAATGTTTAAAAAGTTTCCAAAAAATGTCACACAAATAATAGTAATCTATCTATTTTAAAAAATGCCTAAAAAAAAAATGTATATAAAAACTTGTTTTATATTGACCTGTCTCCTGTGTCCTGAGCCGTCCCAATAACTGTAAGTGATTGTGATTTCCTCGTTCTTGATTCTTTCTTGTGTAGCCACCCATTCCTGGCGCAATAATTCTCTACAAACACATTTGTAACAAAACATTAATACAATTTGGTGAGATTTTAATGTTTAATAATTAAAAATAATTCAAATGAAATATGAGTTCTGTCACTTTGTACAATCATATTCAACACCCAGACATTGAAAATATCAACGACAAACCTGAGTTGGTTCTCTTCTTCATCTCTATCTCTATCAGGCAAAAAACTTGTGTCCACCTCTGGGTTCATGCCTGTTACACATGCATTGAACATATGAATTGTTTTATATTAGAAGAATCTGTTTAAGCAACTTCTTACTACAAGCCAAAAACATAAATGCATGCTATTAATATATACACAAGACAGACACTAGATAAGACTACATGGAAACCTGGAATTTATGGCAATGCTGGATAAGTGGTGACACTACTAAGATGTTAAGCATTGCCTTACAAAGACCAGACAGGAACAGGTCCCAAAAGAAATCAGACCACAGTGTAATGAGAGTATGCTATCTCATATTAGACCAGAGTGGTATATGGTATCTCTTGAAAAATGTGTTATACAAAAGTAATTTTATAAATGATCAAACAATTCTACTTTACATAATACAACCAGATAATAAAATCTGCAAGATTTGCAAAACTTTTCCTACATGAGCACAGAATCAGAGATAGAAAGCAGGTCAAAGAAAAACTGAGAAGAAAAGTTCAAGTTGGACAAGAAAAGAGACTGACATCATCACCAAGAACTAGTCCACACCCCACTTGTATAACAGCGATAGTCTAACATCTAAAGTCCACACCCCACTTGTATCACAGTGAAAGTCTAACATCTAAAGTCCACACCCCACTTGTATCACAGTGATAGTCTAACATCTAAAATCCACACCCCACTTGTATCACAGTGATAGTCTATCATCTAAAATCCATACCCCACTTGTATCACAGTGAAAGTCTAACATCTTAAATCCATACCCCATGTGTATCACAGTGAAAGTCTAACATCTAAAGTTCACACCCCACTTGTATCACAGTGAAAGTCTAACATCAAAGTTCACACCCCATGTTTATCACAGTGATAGTCTAACATCTAAAGTTCACGTGCCACTTTTAAAACAAGCAAAATACAAAAAAATACTTTAAAATTAATTTGTATCAATCATGTAATTAAATTTGTAATAAACCTCAGACGACAATCTATAAAGGGGACTAATTCAGCTTATACCACTACTTCAGTCAAGTACTATTTCTTTCCATTGTTTGAGATACAAAACAATTAATTACCAATAGTTAATTAACTAATTTGTTACTTTTAAATTGATTCTTGTGTTGTCAGGTAAAAGAAATAGTTGTGCAAAATCTCAGCTTGATCCGAGATTCAGTGTCAGAGAAATAACATGTACAAACTTTTGGCCAGAGACAAACAGACAGACAGAGTAGGTTGATATGAGCTTTGTAAAAACAACTTATTTTAGAAAGGTAATGTATTTCAATGTGTACACACCCAATCTTTTCTTTCTTTTTCTTTCTTTTCTCTCTTCTGCAGTTTCTTCTCTTTTTACCTCCTCTCTAAAGTCTTCAGAATCATTTGAATTGTTAGAGGCTTCTTTGTCTGGCTCTTTATCCACACTGGTCTCTGCCTCCTCCTCTTCTTCATCCATGTCAAAAGACAGCATTGTTATCTGTGAATACATGACAATATATCAGTGTGTGACATGCGAGTGCACTAAACAAGATCTCCCACCACATTCTCTAAAGTGGTTCTCAACCTATGGTACACATACTTTGAAGGGGAACAATCCTGGTAGAGATTGGCAGTCATTCTGACCAAGGAAAATGAGTTTTAAGTTTCCAGGCAAGTGAATGATACTTGATATTTGCCTGATAATATGCATTAATGTTTATATAAGTAGCAACTTCTTAATGTAAGCCAACAACAAAAAGGTTGCCTGAATCAGCAAGGAAAACCAATGATTTAGCAGAATTTAAGGTATCACACTTCAGTGTTTAGGCCAGAGTGAGAGCTAGTGTGTAAGCTGAGAGAAAAGGGCTGACCAGGTCATTTTGTCACTTTGTATGTGTGTGTTAGACTTCTATATTGGTAGCCTGAACAATCTGGATGACCTTGATGTAAATA